TTTTGGGTCGTGACACATGCTGAAATGCGATTCTTAGCTACATTATATAAAGTTTTGTGGCTATCAATGTTTGTGGCAAATTCTTCAATTTGTAGCTATAGAATTTTTGAATTTGTAGCTAAACATATATAAAATTGCCACAAAAAAGAATATGGCTATATATTTTTATTTTTTGCAGCAAATGAAGAAAAGCTTTTGCTATAATTCTATATATCTCATGGAAAAAAACATGGAATCTTTTTTTTTTTAAATAAGATGTTTGTGGCTAACACTTCAGCTCATGGCTATGGACTTTTGAATTTGTAGCTAAACAAATATATTATTGCCACGAAACTAAACTATAAAAATAACCACAAAATCTGAATTTGCGTGGCAAACGAATTATGTCTTTTGCAATACAATATAATACCTTGTGGCTACAATATAAATATAACTAAAAATATTTTTTGTCGTGGCAAAAGAATAAAATAATTTGCTGTGAATATATTTTTTCGTGGCAAAAGACTTTTATTGTTATAGCTACAACACCAAAACATTTGTAGCAACAAATACTAGTCCTTAGCCACGGATCATGTAAAGATCGAAGCTAACTTTTAGGTACGCTACATTTTGCTACGGAAATTTTTTTGTGGCTAAAGTTTAGCCACTGAAATTTTCAGATTTAGCTACGATGTATTTCTTAGCTATATATGCATAATCTTGTAGTTGTTTAACGAGTCTAAACCATATTCTCAACTAGTAGATATCACCTATATGGATTTTTTTCTTTCATTGTGTCCTATTTTCAGCTAAGTTCGCATTGATTCCAAAGATTTATAGGTCTTTTGAGACAACTTCCTTCCATGTGGATTTAGGTCTACCTCGTCCCCTTTTTAAATCTTCACCCACACGAGTTTCACACCTACATATCAATGCATATGTAGGTAGATGCATGATATAACCAAACCTTCTTAATTAAGCGACCTTCTCTCATTTTATTTTCAATGCGCGTTATGTGCACCTAGGAAATGTGATAATTTTTAATCTTATAATTTATTCTTGTGTGACCGCACATCTATCTTAGCATCTGCATCTTTGTAACACTCATCTTATGGACATGTTGGACTTTAACGGTCCAACATCCACTACTATATAAATACTATATATCGCCGGTCTTAGAAATGTTCTATAGAACTTACCTTTCACTTTGGTAGGTATTCTTTTATCATATTAAACCCTAATAGTACTTCTCCTTTTCAAATAACATTTTCACTATCATTACATTCTCTTGAAACAACGAGCTACATCTATATTGCTTGCAGTTTGGTATCGTAATTCCCTCTCTTCTTTCCTGAACTCTGCTCTTCTCATGCTAACTAAACTGCAATGCATATATTCATCAGTCTTATTTTTACTTATTCTAGAACTTTACTCTCTTTGGTGCTTCTCCATCGTCCAAGTTTTCGGTTGATCTCTACCTAGTTTTGTCAATTAACACAATATCATCATCAAATAGTATATACTCTTGGACCTCATATTATATGTGTTGGTTAGCTCATCCAAACGAGGGTAAACAAGTAGGGGCTATATGTTGATCACTGTGTAGACGATCCACTGTTATGAAAAACTTCTATGTATCTCCTACTACTATTTTCACACTAGTGATGACTCTTTATACAGGTCCGTTATAGCTACCATTTAGTTACTCTTTCACATTAGTGATCACTGGAGTTCCAGTGTTTATACTGGAACTTCATCATAATATACCGGAGTTCCATCATAATATACTAGAACTGCTGGAAGTTCACATGTAAAAAATTCGAACTCCAGTATATTATGCTGGAATATTTTCCGAATTTTGAACAGTGTTTGCGTTTACATTTATCTTTACATAAAAAGTTACTAAATTTCAATTACTTTTAAAGCTATTTTTTATGTCCTTTCAAAAGATTATTAAAAGGTTGTCCTTGGCCCAGTATCACCCAAAGTAAATTTCAGGAAAGTCAACGACGACTCAAGTTGGATATAAAAAAAAGTTAAGTTGTATAATATTCCCAAATTTCATGTGCAAATACGTGAGTTCCTGCAGAAATTACGTATAAAGTTCAGAAGCCAAAAGACCTCAACATATAACAGGCAACAGTCTTCTTGAAATTTCTGCAAAGATCTTATTGTTTGTGTTAGTGCTATAGCGATAGTTGTTGAGAAAGGAAAGGCTGGTTATTTCTTAAAAACGTACTACTACAATTACATTTTCCTTCTTTTCTTCCCTCTGAAATATTGTCAACCTGTTTTTGTGGAAATACAAATTTTTCTGAACTTAAATTTCGTTGCTTAAGGGAAAGAGAATCTTGGAGTAACGATAAAGTTGTCTCCATGTAACCTATAGATCGCGGGTTTGAACTGTGGAAGCAGCCACTATATATGCGTTAGGGTAGACTGTCTACATCACGGCCCTTAGAGTGCGTGCATGAACGCGAAATGACTTGTGCACCGGGCTGCCCTTTTTGATAAATTCCGTAAGGATAGTGATTACACGCACGGTCAAAGTCGCAGTCTTCTATTCTTGCAACTCTTCCAACAGTTTGTGGGGGTAAAAATTAACATGGAGGAGTCTGTTATGATACTTTTCTCGGTCCTACCTGTGTGTGTGGCGTTTCTTGTCTTCTTTATTTGCTTTGCATTTAGTTCCAGCAAGAGCTTCTTGCAGGAACAAATATTGTAAGCCAAGGGAATAGAGTTTCTGCCCATCAAACTAATGATGGTACTATTGCCATGGCTACTCTGACCAGCATAACATGTAATCCGAGTAGTGGTGGCTTTCAAGGTGACAGTGGTGGTGGTTTTGGTGGAGGGGGTGGTCATGGCGGCAGCAGTGGTGGTGGTTGTGGTGGTGGTTTTTGAATAGGTCAAATTGTAATTACTATTCTTTAGTACTTATATAATGTTTCAATTTCAAGTTGTAATTTCGCTCATATTATATTTAAAGCTTGTTTTGATAGAAACGTCAAAGTCAAGATAATTGGATTGTCCGTTTGGACAATATATGGAAGAAAAGTAAAGAAAAAATTATTAAAAGAAGTTTTTGATAGTTTAAAATGTGGTTGTATAGTTGTAGTTTTTCTTGAATTCTGAGTGTTTTGCTAGTAGAAAAAGATTTTTTTACAAAAATAAATGAAAATAAAGTACAAAAGTGATATTAATACCACTAACTACTTTAGGGGATAATATGACGCTGCAAAGTTGAGGTGTATAGTTGTAAAACGGGACAAGTTGGACAGGTATTTATGTAAGAACAAATTGCGCATGATGTTATATTCGCTAAAATTAATTCATTAATGTTACATTTCTATATCATCTGCAGATGAAATGTATAGGAAGTAGCTAAGTAGGAATAGTTATATTTCATCAACTAAACATTTTTCTTCTCTCCAATTTCATCATGAGTGGCGCACAACTTTTAGTACATGAGCACAATGACATTATGGTCTTCTTATATTCCTAATTCATTAATGAAAATGTACAACCACACGATCATTAAGGAAGCCAGAATTCTATTGTAGAATTTCCATCTCGTTTCCAAGGGAATTTAGAAGAAATCAGTAGTAAGCTTCTTCACAACATCACTTTTTTCGAATTTGTTGGATCATTAGATCCATTTTAAGCTTCTTCAATAAACTTATATAGACATTTAAGTTGCACCACCCTTGTTTACATAATTCAATGATATAAAAGATGACCAAGTATATTTTGCTGATAACCATGAAAAGCTAATGAGTTTTTGCTGAGAGAACCAAGAATAGACAAAGTATATACGAATACGACTACACTCACCATCTGCGAGGCTCTGGTGCTACCACAGTTTTGATTTTCAGTTCCTTGCATTGTGGTGGAAAGTAAAAGCACTGCAATGTGACAATAAATGTAATTCCTCTACTAGCATATCGTGAGATTTGCCTTTCTATGTTAAAAATTGTTCATATCTACCCTCCCTCCGTTTGAGTATTCAATTATACATAAGCCAACTATTACACTTTTGAACAAAAATGCCCCTCATTCATCCCAGCACTGAAATAGACAAGTGGAGGTATACATTTTAAAACTCCCGATTCATTTGCCCTAACTCATTACTGGACCCATCCTACAATTCTCTTTTAAACCATCTCCGGAGGTGCCATACAATATTGGAAGACCCTGGGGTGCCTATACTTCTGTGTATTTTTGTGGGTGGGTTATGGGAGTGACAGAAGTTGAATGTGGGTGTTAAATCTCATTCCGTCTTATTCTGTTCTTCTTTATATTCGTTTATTTACAAGCCTATTATATCACACGACGAAGAAAAAAACACTTTGCGAGAGAGGCAGAGCCACAGGGTTCTTCCACTATTTGTGCATGGCACCTCCTCTTCAATGAACAATGGAGATGGTTTAAATGAAAAGTTTATGATGGGTTGGGCAATGGGTTTGGGCAGATGAACCGTGCGTTGTAGAATGTTTATTGGCCCTCCATGTGTCTATTTTAGTGCTGAGTCCGGGTCTCTTAACGGATGAGGGCATTTTTGTTCAAAAATGTAATGGTAGGGTATATACATTTGAATACTCAATTGAAGGGCAGATATGCACAATTTTTGAAAATAAAGGGTAAATATGACCCTTTTCCGTAGTTGAAAATGGTGAAAGACGCAAAAGCAGTGCAACAGAAGATAGTGGAATGGTTATTTTAGGGGCATCTGCTGCTGTAGCTGCCAGTGCCACAGTGGCTTTCATCAGCAATGTGACAGAGGAAGTGACTAGTGGAGGTGTAGCAGCAAATATGCTGTCTTCCTTGTCTGTCTTTTACTGAAGCTACTACCAATCTCAAGGATACTAAGGTTATGCATATGCTGTGATAATTCCTGTCTATGAAGGTTATGCTGTGAATAATTCCTATACAAGAAATTTACTTAAGAGATGAGCAAAAAACGGTCGCAGACTTGCAGCTTCAAAAATGTAAAGACACATTTCAAGTTAGGAACACAATTACTAACCTATTGAGTGAATAAATGGCCTCAAAATACACTTTGCGTGATAAACAGCCACAATAGCTAACTCGATTTCCCGAAGATAAGTGAGGCCACTCTTCCAATGTTGAGCTCCTAACTCTACCTCTCTATTTTCAAAGTATATAGAAATTGTGGTAACTAGGAATGAATGAACTAACCTGGGAGAAACGGCCACCTCTCTATAGAAGGGCGAGCTGTACATTCTGTATCTCCGCAGTAAAACATTAACAGGAGGACCATGCAAGTGATGATAACTATGAACCACCTTTTGAACTATGGAGAAAATTGACATATCATCATCTCGCTGATTCGATGTCAGGATGGCAATCTTTTCATAATTCCACTTGCCAAATGCTGCAGAATGGACAATGTCTGGTAATTCCCTTTAGGAACTTCATGAAATTTCTTCCATAGGGTATCACTTATCTATAGAACCCAAACTGACATCTTAAAATATCTACAGCCTTTTGCTAATACATCCCTTATCCTCTTCAACCATCCAAGAAAAGTATATGGATAAAAGGCATGCAAATGACAGTTTCATTTTAGTTGTCTTGGTGGACAAGCGTTAAAATTGAGGACATCCTTTTCTGACACAAATTATCATTTTTTAAAGTGGTAACAAGTCATGGTCTATACAACTTAATTGTTTCATTTCATCCATAATTGTCCACAATGTGCAGCTGATCTCTTTAAAGTTCAAATGGGACTGATCTCCGCAGAGAAATAAACCAACGTTGTTTTTCAACAAAACCCAACTGCAACCTGGATATTTCTTTATTCTTTTCAATTTCTTTGCCAGCCTAACTTGTTCCTCATCTTTCTTCTTTCTGACAATGCAATACAGGTCTGACAAGACCACGTAAGGAGCTGCACTACTTGGTTCCAAGTCCAAAATTCTATGAGCTGCAAGCTTTGCAAGATCAAGACGCAAGTGAGTCTTGCTGGCAGCTAGAAGAGCACCCCAAACACCAGAATGTGTCTTGAATGGCATCGAATTTATTAGATCAACTGCTTCATCAAGTAAACCAGCTCGTCCGAGGATATCAACCATGCTAGTATAATGATCAGGCTCCGGTTCAATGTTGTATAATGATCTCATGGATTTGAAGTAGTTCCATCCTTCTTCTACGAGCCCAGCATGCATACAGGCTGAAAGTACCCCTAGAAAAGTGATACCATTAGGTTGCTCACCTTCATTCCGCAACTGGTCAAACAACTTAAGTGCTTCTTTGCCATAGCCATTTTGGGCAAATCCAGTAATCATTGCATTGAAACAAACAATATTCGGGAAATTTATGAATTTAAAGATCCTGTAGGCATCATCTAAACTTCCAGACTTGGAATACATTGAGATAAGAGAACTTTGGATAGACAAATCTAACTCCATATTCATTTTCATAACACAAGCATGAATTTGCAGACCTTGATTTAACATTGCCAGACCAGCTGAAGCACTAAGTATACTACTTAAAGTTAGAGGATTTGGTCTAACGGCACTTTGAAGCATTTTAATAAACCAGCGAAAAGCCTCCTCATATTCCCCTTTATTTACAAAACTAGAGATAAGAGTTGTCCATGCAACATCATCTTTCTCGGGAATCATTGCAAATAGATCAACACATTTTTCAGTCAACCCTTTTTCAGAAAACCCTGTGATCATGGCTGTCCAAGAAACAACATCCTTTTCCGGAGCCCTTTTAAAAAGCTCATATCCCTCTTCAAGATTTCCAGCTTGAACAAAAGCAGTAATAAGAGAATTCCACGAAATGACATCTTTCCTGAACATCGAATCAAACACACATTTAGCTGCATCTACACAACCAAATCTAGAGTACATAGTGATCAATGAATTACCCAAGAAAACATCAAATTCAAAACCCAAGCGAGTAACCAGTCCATGGACTTGATAACCTTGCTGATGCTTACTAAATCTTCCACAAGCTTCTAAAATGATTGTTATTATAGTAGGCTCCAGTCTCGCATCACCTTCCCTTCTCATTCTTAGAAACAATTCAAACCCATCTCCGAAACAGCAAACTTTCATATACCCATCAATCATAGCACCCCAAGTGACCCCATTCTTCTCTTTCATCGCATTAAACAACTCCCGAGCCTCAATAACTCTCCCATTCTTGCAGTTCCCATCAATCATTGCACTACAAGAAACAATATCTTTTCGAACCATACCATCAAAAACACGAACTGCATCGTCTAACTTTCCAACTTTCAAATACCCATTTATCAGTACATTCGAACAAACAGGTTCCCGCAAAACCATAGGAGTCCGATTATACAAATTCTCCGCCATATCAAACCTCCCTGCATTAACAAACCCCGTAATCATCGCCGCAAAAGACACCGAATTTCTCTCCGGCATCAGCTGAAAAAAACTGAATATCCCATCAATTTCAACTCTATTCCTCATATAAGCCGTCAGCATCGCATTCCACGAAGCGACACTTCTTTCAGGCATTTCATCGAACAGTGCACGAGCTTTCTTGAGTTGCCCGTTTTGGGAATATGCCGTAAGCATTGCGGTCCAAGAAACGATATTTTTGGTGGGCATACGGTTGAAAACGGATTCAGCTTCTTTAATGTTTCCGTTTCGGCCATTATGTGCGATCTGGGTGTTACAATAAATCAAGAATTTGTTTGTTTTAGCGCCGGCGTTCAAAAGGGTGTTTGAAGAAGTTGAGTATTTAAGATTCGGAAGCGCAAATTCTGAGAAAGGCAAACGTAGGCGGACATGTAAGAAGTTCGGCTTTGCTAGCATGACTGAGAAACAGACAAAGCTTCCATTACCCAGAGAAACGGAAGCGCGGTTTTTTCAAATTTTTCTTTTCTGTTTCCCTCTTTGTTTGGAATTTGCAGTTTAAAAATGTCCGTAACAACAAATTTTTGCTCGCGAAAAATAAATAATCAAACACTGGAAAATTGCGTAACAAATATAATATTTGATTTCAATAAATAAAAGTGTTATAATCTCTGTGGTATTCTTCAGGAATATAAACTATCTTGATGAGATTAACTTTAATTTTGATTCAAGGGCTTGTAGAGCTTGGTCTTGAATCTCTTTCTTGAACTTGAATTTGGATTTGATCACGAACAAGTAATTTGATCTTGAACGTCTTGGTATTTGATTTGGCTTCGTTCTTGATCTTGAACTTGAACTTGTAGCTTATAGAGAAATCTGTATGTTTGATCCACGAGCTCTCTGCTTGCTTCTTGTTATCAATTCTGATGTCTTCTAGCTTTATGAAGACCTCTATTTGTAGGAAGTGGTGTGGTTCTGCGATTTGATCGGTCCGTTTGAGCTGACCAATATCATCTAGACACTTGGCACAACTCTATTGGTTGTTGATTTGACTTGGATTGTCACCTTCTTGACACGTGACACGATTTCATTGGCTCATTTATTTGGTTGGAATTATCACATCATTTGACATGTGATTTTGATTTTATTAGCTCGTTCTTTTGACTTGGATTGCAACATCACTTGACACGTGGCATGAGCCTGAGTTTTAAGATGGGCTAATAGCCATTTAGACTTTGGGCTAATGAAGTGCGCTAATCATTTAATTTGTAATCCCATTTAGTAGACTAGCACAACACATATGTATTGAATTTAAATAATTAGTCAAATTTACTAGCCACAATATTTATTTGGATTGATATCTTGAATTTATATGGTCCAAATTATTTTATGAATTTAAATTCAATAAAATTCAAATACTTACAAATACCTCCTACTTCAAGTCTTATAGTAGTTTTGACTTTCGAAGATTAGGATTGAAGTACCAATAATGTCCTTAGGTACGAAAAGTGCATTCAGCTAATGGAAATTTGTTAATTTGTTAATATTGTTGCTAAGTCCATCTTTTAATTCAAACTTTAACATTCGAATAATATAATAATGCTAATGTTTAGAATTTGCAATGATCAACATATTTTACCTACTTCGGTTATACAAGGCATTTTATCGCCTGATTCTTTTCAAAGTGACAGCATTCTTTCCTTAATTTGTAAGTTGCGATGTCCCCTATTCCTCCGCTACATTTTAATTTCTTCTCCACCCCCCCCCCCCCC